GAGTTGTCTTTAGCCAACGAAAGTTGAAGTTAAAGCAACTCGTGAACAAATCAACCCAAATCGTTTAATGCTCTTCATTCTTTGTAACCTCAAACGACAGTTTAGGGTGTTAGATTGTTTGTTGAAGTAGTTGATGCCATGACAGTGGGTCCTCTTGAATCTATGGTTGAATTCCTGAATAATTGCTTGGTTTTGATGTCCTAATCCCTGTGATATCCCTTGACCTAACTCTTTCCTTCTATTGTTTTCAACCGAATTTTACTCTTATTTGCTTTGGTTAATCGTGACAATTAAACCTCTTTTGATCGCTTAGCTGAACTTGTATCSCATYYGATTAMAGAGTATTGCTGGTCCCTTAACGAACCTCACTATTCTGCATTCGAATTAGTGAACCCTAGGTTTTAATCTTATAAAACCCGAAAAAAGGACTTTCATCAGTGATGGCAGGAGGGTTCAGAATCAGGATGATGGTCTTGGTGGTAGCAGCATTCTAAGATATCAATATCAGAATCATGATTAAATGGATGATGGCAGGAGGGATCTTATTGAAGAAGATAGCATGAGTGAGGGTGGGGCTGAAGAAGAAGTGTAAAAGGTGGGGAAGTGCTCGAAGAAGAAGTTGCAGAAGGTGAGGGAGTGCCCGAAGCAGAAGTTGCAGAAGGTGAGGCAGTGCAACCGAAATTTCAGAAGTGGGGAAGTGCTCGAAGTAGAAGTTGTAGAAGGTGAAGGAGTGCCCAAAGCAGAAGTTGCACTTGATGAAGATAACATGAGGGAGGGTGGTGCTGAAGAAGAGTTGCAGAAGGTGAGGGAGTGCCCGAAACAGAAGGTGAGGCAGTACCCTGAAGCAGAAATTGCAGAAGGTGAGGCAGTTCCCAAAGTACAAGTTGAGGTAACAAAGATCGTGCAGAAACTGAGAAGAACTTCTCGCATTACCAAACAGATTTTGGAGTAGCTTTCCAAGGCCTAGTAAGTATAATTGTTCCTTGTTTTATGTTTATCCTAGCATGCAAAGGATAAAGTTCTGATGTGTATTTTGAGACTTCGTTAATAGGTTTTGTTAATTGGTTTTTGAGACTTTTCTTGCAAGTAATACAATTTTTTGTTGGCGTAGAAAGAAAAAAAAGTAAGAAGAGAAAAGTGGTAGATGTTCAGAAAGGGAGCGTGAGACCTAAAAGGAAATGACTTTTGAAGATTGGCCCCGTTCCTGAATGAATTGGCAAAATCTTGTTACCAAATGGGTACACTTTTGTCCTTGAACTAAATTGCGTTTTGTAAGATCGTACTTTTCTTATCTACATTAACTAAGAAACGGGTTCCATTATCTACTTCAGTAATACAATTTTCTTGAATTAATGATAAAAACATATACAAAATAGCTTTGGTCGATACCAAAATTACGATGAACGATGAACGGTTTGTGTGGAGGCGAGACACTCTTTCCTTAATTCTTTAATTGCCCGTAGCGTGTCGATTTAAATGCAATCAGAATCCCAGGATACAAGCACACGATCGATTATTCCGCAACACTCGAGAATAGAAGCTAACGTACCAAGACTCTATGTGTACTCTCATACACAAAAACAAAATAAAATATAAAATAGCTTGTGAAGGATTTGTTGTTGTTAATTGTGTATCAAATGAGAAGAGGACAAGATGCTTTTATAGCCACTATCCCAACGTATATCAACGTATGGCATTAAAGGGAGATTGAGAATTCATTCTCATAATAACAAACTAGTTTTTGACCCACGCCAAGTGTGAGATTAAATAATTAAATATATTTTAATCGAATTTAATATTTAGACGTGTATTCTAACATTTATAAACACACAAAAATGATATGTATTGTGCATACAAATAATAAAGCTAAATTTTGATCAAACATAAACATATTTTATCTTTTTTATTTTTCATTTCTCCCATCTATTAAAAATAATCATGAATTTTTGTTTTTGAATATTTTAATACCGATTCTGACTCATTTAAAAATCTAGTATTATTGAAAAGAAAATATTTTCAAATCTTTACTTATAATTGTGAAGTCGAAAATCCTACGTGTCGTCTCTAGAATGAGTTTAAGACTTGATTTACCGATAATACCCTTAATGAATGATGTTATTACGCTCACTACCATCGATCCATTGCCATCGATTTTTTTTAACAACAACACTCATAATTCGTTTGATATTCTATACTTATAATTGTGAAGTCGAAAATCCTACGTGTCGTCTCTAGAGTGAGTTTAAGACTTGGTTTGCCGAGAATACCCTTAATGGATGATGTTATTATGCTCACTGCCATTGATCCATTGCCATCGAATTTTTTTAACAAAAACACCCATAATTCGTTTGATATGTTTTTATTGGGTACATATGATATTTCCATTGGCCCATAATTAGTTAGCCCATAATTAATTGTCGGTTATGTTAAAACCCTAAGTGCAACTTTGTTATTTCTTCTTCTATATATTGAGGTTAATTAAAGTTTCATCGTCCATGAATATTTCTCCTCCGCCACTTTAGTTTCGTATATATAAAAACAGAATATGATGATAACAAAAACTAATCTCCTCGGTATCTATTCCTTCCTCAATCCTTATATATTACATTCTTTTTTGTTTTATTATCAAACAAAACGTTAGTCTTTCCTTTCTTCCTACGATATATTGTCGCTCTTTTTTTGTTTATTAGTTTTTCATCAGTCATGATATATTTCTTCTTTCGTCTTGCAGGATGTATCATCTTTGCTATCGAGGTGTGAGGATCTTCGCCATGTATCACAGAAACAAAAACAGAAGATCCTAATCTCAGATCTCGCATCTTCTGTGACCATTGCGGTGAGCATGAAGCTAGGGTTTCACATGTGTAACTCATTTTCTCCATGTATTATTAATTTAAAGCGGCTTCGTTTTGTAGGCCTGTTTTGTTTAGTTCAATAGTTAATTTTTTGTTTCTAGGCTTATGATCGTATGTTATTGATTGCTTTGTATTTGTTGCTACATGTTTATTGTTATTTATGCATCGTTCTAGCTCTAAACATGAACTTCTGATTTTAGGATAGGGATCTCAAACAAAAGAAGCCGAGAAGAGGAAAATACGCGCCAAAGTATAACAACGAAATAAAAAAGAATAATTCTCATGATTCTAAATTGTTTATTGTGATACGTAGATTTTTTATCAAACAATTTCGTAGGATTTGCTATATTTTGTTTTCGTGTTGATCATGATTATAGTTTGATGGCTAATGAAGTGATTGCTTGCCTTATTTGACAGATATCAAAATATTGAAACATATGCCTGAATAGCAAATCCCCGATAAGATCTTAAAAAAGTTCGTTCGTTGGATTTTTTGAAATAACCAGTTTTTGCATCTTCTTAATATGGATTTTAAAATATTTTACACGTGTTTTCATTCGTTGTTCATAAGATTTTAATGTTTTTAGTGTGTTAAAATGTCATGTAGAGTCTTTACACGTATTTTGGAGAAGAATGAAATAGAGGAATGATTCATGTTTATTCTTTTAGATTTCTCATCTAGAAGAATACAAGTTTTTTTCGGGCGATGAAAAAAAAAATATCAAAAGAGAACAATTATTGGAAGAGCTAAGAACGCAAGTCTTTAATTTTTCTACTTTAATGTTATTAGATCATATAAAGTTTTAGTCTTTTATTTTTCTTGCAGATTGTTATATATATGGTAGTTAAACCAATATCTCTTGCAGATTGTTATATATATGACAGTTTTAGTCTTTTATTTTTCTTGCAGATTGTTATATATGGCAGTTAAACCAATATCTCTTACAGATTGTTATATATATGGCGAAAATCCATATATGCAGATTTGGACTTTATCCAAGAACGTTGTGAATTGTTTACAAGTTAAAACAAGAGCTCATATATGGGTATGTCAAAGGTGTTAGATCAGAAAAAGATGATTGGGTTTGTAATGTGAGGCTCACATATACTTCTAATAATTGTGATGAACACATGTTTCCTCTTATATCCAGATGGAACCCCAAGCTCATTCGATATAGTTAATCTAATTAATTGTTTTCTATTTGATTTCGCCTGATATTTTCTGATTAGTTCTTTGTTCTTGTGTGTTTTTTATATACAGGTTTGTCATGGCCATATTTGTGATTTTGTGTTAGTTCTCTCACTCTTATATGCGTTTTGATGATTGTTCTAATTAATTGTGTTTGTTGAACTTACCGTCACCAGCTTTTGTCCTTTGGAGCTTTGTTCCACCTTTACTCCTTTTGATATTCTAGGTAAAAAAAAAAAAATTCTAGGTAGTGTAATATTTTTGAATTAATATTGGAATAGTAAAAACGTTTCACTTTTCCATTATGTATTTGTACTCATCGTCTATAGAATAGAGTCATTTCTGTTTGCCTCCTTTGTATATTGTTTGGGTTAACATCGAAAGAATTTTTGAGTCATTAGATTTTAAATAAAAATTATGAATGTAGTGGTATGAATTTCTTTAACTCACTCTGCCTTTATTTTTCCTAGCATTTTGTTTGGTTTCTAGACCTTTTCAAAAATCTGTTTATTGATATTTCAAGTGATTTATGTGACAGATTAAGGAACTCAACTCTTTTGTTGCACTAAGATAAACGTAAGTTACGTTCTTTTTCTTTTTTTT